AGAGAGAAAGAGAATCTAAGGGCTCTCAGAGTTAAAGAGAAGTTCCTTCTCTTATCGTTGAGAGCAACCTATAGTTGGATATGGTCAAAGTCATCCAACCTCCAATGTGTAATTTAATTCGACAGAAGGTATATGTATACCTACATACATAGCTACTTATATACTACGGCTATACGAAATGGTTCCAATGGGAAACAAGACACGAAATAAGACTACTGTGTGGTAAGAGGATGACGATGAAATCTCTGGAGATGATAGGATGGAGGTAAGCAGGGCGTGTCAAATACTTCGAATATAACCGGTGGTTAAAAAATAATCCAAAAAAAGTAACGATAATTTCTTAAGGATATCCCTATATAATCATATAACAATTTTTCAATAATATTTAATTGAAATTATTCAAATGGTAATAATAACGTAATCCTAACGAGGAAATAACTTTGAATGAGTTTAGTTTCAAGAGTTCATGCATAATATAATATCATTTAATTTAAACTTTTTATCTATTATTTTTAACCAGAGAGATCAAGAAAAGGTTTTCACGATAAAGAAAAAGAAGAAAAATAAATGGGGAAAAAGAAAATATATATCGGGGGTTGGAATCATTTCTAGTTTATGGTAGAACGAGATGGATGAGTTTCGGTCTGGATGGATTATTTCTTTTGGAAGATCTTTCGAAGAATCTCAATCTTTATCATCTACTTTCTTTTTCTTTTTTTTTTTTTTATCACTTTCCCCATCTAAATCCTATCGATCGTTTTTATTATCGATATAGAGACGACGAATGGTATCTTCAATGAAGATTAAACGATCTTCTTAAGATCCATGTTGGTTGAGTTAATATAAGAACAGCTTTAGAAAATGAAATATATATTATTTTTTTATCGTTTTAAAAAAGAAATTCGCGAGAGAAAAGTAAGAAGTTTTGATCGATACGTATATCGGCGTTATATACGATTACAATGTGTACCCGTTAAAAAAAAACATTTACAAAAATTAGAAAAACAAAAAATATTCGTCGGAAAAATCATATTATCTCTTCGTGATATATTTTTCATGTTTAAAATATATTTTTATTATATAAATATTCATATCTATTACATATATGATCAAATTATCATAGACCCGTGTTGAATTTAACGATACACGAGTATTGAATTAAATGGATGACCTGCTTTGAATGATATTCCACATAGAAATGGATCGAGTGGACAACCATGAGTGTGTACTCTCTCTCTCTCTCTCTCTCTCTCTAACAAATTGACGAAGTTTAATACTAATTGGCTCGACAACAGTGAAACTATCTACAACCTATACCCATATCGTGAATCTTGACCGTGAAATAGAAGAAAAAAAAATTGGTACGATCTTTCGATTAAACTTGGCCCTGACGCCAATTTCCTGCCAAGAAGCCAAAAGAATATACCGTTTGCGTTTATTCGTCTTGGGAGAAGGATTTGTTGGCCAGCTTCATACTTTCCGCCCAACAATTTTCTATACGTTTTAGCTTGACCTTAATTCGTTCGATGTTCTTTCTACGACGTATCACCGTCAAGAATTAATCTTGAATTTTGTTTTGTGGAAAATTACATTTAAATTATATATATTTTTATTTATATAATCGTTAGTGTTTATTAAATAAATTTTAACTTGAAAATCGCTTTAATAAAATAAATATGTTAAATATGTTAACCATTATAGTAGTTATTTTAAAGCAGCAGCCACTTGAGAAATTGATATCAAATAAAATCTCATTTTCACAAGAACGCGTATATTTTAAAATAAAATAATACAAAATTGACTTTTTCCAGATGACTTTAAGTAATATTTTCTACAATAACACTCAAATTTGTACATGTAAAATGATAAAGATAAAATCAATTTATGAACGTTTATCTGTTAGTTGTTATTGATACTCTGACACTTTATCGAAATTTTATTAAATCGCGTATCAAGATTTGGTAGAAAAATTTCTCACGACCTTTTTTTTTTTGTTCCTTTTTTTTTTTTCTTATCGATATTTGTGAAAATTTTGATCTCAATTATGAAGATAAGATGTTAAATCATTAAATAAGCTTCTACTCGAATCTAGGTATTATTACGTTAACTGTGTTAAACATCCAATCGTATCTGCTTTAAAGTTTCCTGGCACTTCAACTATGAGAAAGAAGTGCTTGTTAGTTCTATGCAGTAATACCGCATTTACTACTCCGTTCCAAAAGAGAAAACGAGAATATTTACGCACCCATGCGTAACTTATGTAAAAATATGTATATAGTATATTACAAATGTATATAAACAAAGCGCAGCACAAAATCCTACTATTCCTTTTTAAAAGAAAATTAAACTCGTTAATGAGAATAACGGTAACTGCGTATCGCGTAAATTCAAATAGAAATGTGTGTATGCAATAATATCGTGTTGTTTGGAAGAATTTTAAAAACAGAATTTAACAATAATCGCGTATTTAACTTTTGATAAAAATAAACTTGTAAATAATATCCGTACGTATAATTAATTAACAATGAAATGAATTGTTGCTATTAATTGATCAAACTATTATTAAAAAAAAAACATAAATATATCATATATATTTCGATAAAAGAAACAAACGTGTACTGTAAACCTTTATAATAGACAAAGGAAAGTTTGCTAAACTGTTAAGAGTGCAGTAAAAAAAGAGAGAAAAAAAAAAGGACCGTATCGGTCGTAGATAGCAATAAATTGCAAAATGACGCCATAAATTCTTCCCCCGCAAACGTTTCTTGGCTACGGGGGATGAACAGGATGTGATCGAGTACGGCAGGATAGGTCCCATATGTTTAACGCATAAAAAAATGCGTTTCTTCTGTGATAAAAGATAGGAAAGAAAAAAAAGAATAAAGGGATGCGAGATAAAGGTGACTGAGAAAAGAAATAAAAAGACAAATAAATTCGTAAAACATTATTTCGATTTAGGACACAAATATTTAAATAGCATTTCTCGCGTTGCATCCTCCCATCCCATCCAATCTACGAATACTTTCTTCTTACGAAATTTACTGAACGTATATACAAATCTGAGATGGTACTACTAGGACCTTGAAAAAAAAAAGAAGAAAAATCTGTAAAAAAGGAGGATAAAGATTTACGAGAAAGCTTGAAACATTTGGTCGTTCCCTTCGAAAATGGGAATGAGGAAATAAGGTATAGATAGTTGTGCGCGATGGACCGTACGAACGATACGGCTTCTATGTATGTGAATAATATGTTTGTGTGTGTTAGCTAGCTTTGCCACGTTCTATGATGATACATTTCTAGTCGAGGGTATGCCTCTTAGAAGAGCACGCACGTTACATATCTCTTTTGCATAGGTGGATGCTCCATTGTCGGATAAACTGAAACGGGGAGAAAGAAAGAAATAGAAAGAGAAAGAAATATAGATAGAAAAAAAAAAAAAGATAATACTTCTTCTTCCCCCATAAGAATCCGATTATTGCGACATTGCTTTTACACGAGCTTATCTAGCCTGACCTCGTACTCGAATACTTTGAAACTTTATCACGGAGACATGGTAAAAAAAAAAAATAAAAAAAAAATAAAAGAAGAAGAAAAAAAAAGGAAAATACAGAAATGAAAGAAAAAGAGAGAGAGAGAGAGAGAGAGAGAGAAAATGGGGGAAAGTAGGAAGGAAGGAAGGAAGGAAGGAAAGAGAGATCTACGTTGCCACCAGTAAAAGCTGGTGTTATTAAAATTTTTCACCCTCTACTTTCTCCGTTAACTTCTCCTTTCCATTTACGAAGCGGTATCCTCTTTCACTCTCATTTGCCACCAATCCTCTCTCCCATAACCTCCTTCCTTCACCCCATGCCTCCTCTTCTCCTACCTCATCTCGTTCTCGCGTCCTTTAATACCACACCACGTAAGAGAAAACGTAAAAGTACTTCTCCGATGATTCTTCCCCTTGCAATTGGAATCACAATTTTTCTTTTCTTTTTTTTTTTTTTGTTGTTGTTGTTGTTTGTCGTTTTTACTTTTTAATTTTATTTTTATTGTTTGTCATTGACCGCATGGGACCGGACATAACGCGAAACGAGCTAAGCATAAAATCGATTTGGTCGTGGTGTGATAGGGGAAAAAAAAGAAGAAAAAAAAAGAAAAAAAGTCTATCAGAGAATTGCTGAATCCGCTGTCCTCCGGTGACAATTTTGTACATTGATGATGGATGGATTGCTAGTAAATTGGCTAAAACGAGGCAAACGCGTAACCATGAGAAAATTCTTGTATACATTTTGGTGGGCGGATGGTATGGGAAGTGGGAATAAGGGGGAGGGGGGATCCCGGGGATTTAAATCATAAAACATCAACAACGAGAAACTTCAGAATTAAATTAATTGCCATTCCTTGTTATCGTTATTCCTAGTAAATCGTAACACTTTTATTAATTCATTATCGTACGATCAACTCGAATTATATTTCATTTGCGTGTTTTACAAATTAACACGATGGGGTGGTGGCGGGTATGTTAAACGAGTATAATTAAAATATACTCGTGTAATTTGACGATTGATGTTTTTTTTTTTTCAAATGAATTAACTTTGCTTCTCTCTTAAGAATATAATTCATTTGCCAAGCTTATCGCGAATCAATATAAAACGATGTATTTATTCACTTAGATCAATAATTTTATTATCTAACAAAAAATAATCGACGTTTTTTTTTTTTTTTTCTTTTTTATTGATCTCCCTTAAAAACCACGCGCCAAGTATATTTGCGTATGCGGTTATTTGCTAATGGAAAATCGACTAATTAATTCGATAATTAATTACTTTCCTTCGGTCTACCCCCGTGTTCCCACACCCCACCACCCCCACACCGAACCCTTCCTTATTCGTAGCTGTAAAATTTAAGGAAATAAGAAAAATAACAAACAAACAATTTCCCCGTCCAATCAGAGACATCTTTTATATATCTTACAAATAAAAATGAGCAGAGAGAGAAAGAAAAAAGGAAATGCCTACCTCGATAAAAAGCTACTCGAACGCAACGACGACGACGATGATGATGTTGACGATGATTATTTAACGTTGTGATAATTTACCGACACCAGGTATCTTCTCAATGAAGAATCTTCAAGAGCAGGTAGTTACCAAAGGAATACTAGCGCCAGCTAGAGGTTAAATATCGACAACGTTAAGAAGATTATCGATTTTCGTTGCTGAATAAAAAAGAGCGTCGAAAAAGGGCGCAACGCGAATAAATAAATATTTTAATTAATAACGATTTATATATATATAATTGAAAGCTCTGTAACATATCGAATATAAATAATTTAAAAAAAAGAAAAAAGTATGCTACGTGTAAATTTTCTCAAATATTTTAATAATGAAATCGCAACCATAATATGATGAATACTACAACCATAAAAATGAAAACGGGAAAATATTTGTTTTTCGATATTTGTGTTTTATTATATATTCAAAATTATTGTAAGGTTTAACATGCTTCTATCAGAATTTCTAATATTGACTATTGCAATAAAATCAAATACGAATACAATGAATTTTATCAACGATAAACAATAGATTATAAAGACATTGGATTTTACTTATAAAAATAGCTACTTAATTATAAGGAAGATTTTTCTAAATGAGCAAAATTTTTTTTTTTTAATGTGAGAAGTAATAATATATATATATATTAATTATAAAAGCACAATTTTGTGTTAGGTATAAGTTGCAATAAGTTTAACATTGAATATATTAATTTGACGAAACTTTTTAGCAATGTTTAACAAATATCGCATGGCACAAGCATTGTTCTAATAAATATTCTAAATTGAGACACTTCTATATATTACTTACTTCCAAACTAAATAAATCAAGTTATGAATATACATAACTTAATTTTAATGAACTTATAAAAGATTGATAAACAACACTTATTCGTGAATCAATTAATAGGAATTACAATGAAATATGAAATAAAATAAACATGAGTATATAGATAAATTTTAATATTCCCCATAGAGAGTGCTTCAATTTATTAAATTCGATCTTTTTGAATATCCAACATATTGAAATATTTGAATATCAAGGTATTTGAAAACCAAGCCTCATAACTATTTCAAATATAGTTATGAAAAGCGATGATATTTCAACGCATATCCACGTACATATGTATATCAATGAAATTTCTATTTTCCAATAATCTCTCACACAAGAGTCCAGGCTTATTATATTTGCTGAATAAATATTCGCGAAAACAGGAGATCGCGTGTACAAATTAATATTGGACTGTCAGTTATTTTAACTTACTAATTTACCAAAGCTAAATATAGATCCGTGGTTTACTTAATGAAAATGAAACTCAATATTGAAATTTATGCATTATGAATAATCTTAACTCGATATATGTGTGAAGAGTACAATATACAATAGTTGTTTCCGCTCTTTCTGTATAATACAAAACCATAAGATTCTAGTTGCATAAATCCATTTTCTACGAGTCATAATTTTCACATCATTTTATTTATCCTTATCAAAAGGTACAACTTTGTTCTATACCTTTTTCATATTCCTGTATTATGGAAATGAAAGAAAATATTGAAAGTTGTCAAATTAAATGAAACGTATGCACCTGTATATCGTTTAATAGGTGCCCATATTTTTTATCACGTTATACGAAACAGATTTACAATTTTTGTTTCACGTAAAATATCAGTGTCACTCACGGATTCATTTTATATAACAACTTGCAAACCAAATCTACCTATTTTTGTTTTTTCTTTTTCCTTCTTTTTTTAGGGGGTTTTTTTTTATTGAAATAAATAATTTCCGAAAAAAAATAAGGAAATTCGAGTAAATAATATAAACGCGCGTACGTAGAAATATATAACGTAAAAAGGAAATACAATTATGAGTAAAATTGTTTAGATAGTATTACATCTCACGTTCCAATCTATTCTATTGATTTTCTTTGAAAAAAAAAAAAAAACAGATTGATTTTCAGCAGACACGGTCATTGATCAAAGAACACGAACTAATCGAGCAACTATACATAACGTTGTATTTATTCATCTATAATAATAGTATTTTATTTAGTTTCACAATAACGAAATTAAATCATAATTATTGTTTAGCTCATTAGAATTAAACGATAGAATAACGAATAAAATCTGTCAATTCTTCCATTGGTTTAAACTCGATAACAATCAAATTAATATAATTAGATTGTACGTAGGATGAACACCAATGAAATGTCTGTGATTAATTTAATAAACAATAGTCCGTAAATTGAACTACCTAAACAAAAGTATCATTAAGGATTGGAGTAATAGAAACGTAATGAATTAAACGACTAATTAACGTTTCGATGTAATCCATTTGATCAGAATGTTTCCATATATACAAACGTAATCACGAAAATCATTTCAAAACTCTAAATGCATTTTCCTCAATTTGGAAGATAATCAAAGCGAATTACAAAGTTATTACAATATAATAATTAAAGCGGAAACACAATTAACACCGGTCACGGTCAATTAAAATTTATGAATTTAACGAAGTAAAAAAAACAAAAAAAAGACCGAAAAAATATCTTCCTCTTACTTATCCCGATTTATAATGAAAAAAAAATAAAAAAGAATAATAAGCATGTCGTTAAGAGAAGTAAGGTACTTTGCGCTAAAGAAATGTGTGCTAAACAAGTAATCTAAGAGAATGAAACGAAAAACCGAACGTACTTTTCTTAAGAAGCTTATATATTTTTTGATCAGAGTACTCTCTTATTTTATCATTCATATGCACTTACGTTATGACTTAGCTAGTCTTTTAAAATATTCTACGGATGATAAAAGAAAGTATAAAAATATTGAAAAGGAAAATCTTAAACAGTTTCTTGCAACACAATATAAACGAAACCCTCGATTAAAATTCTGTTCAAAGTAACGCTTTATTCAACGATCCTATGATGATATTTAAAGTATATTTATTTCACCAATAGAGCATAAAAAGTAAGCTTAAGGGGTTAAGGTCTTCTTCTTTCTGATAACCCGTATTGATCTTCAAGGAAATAAATGTGATCATCCTTATGCTTGGAAAAGTTTTTACGAAGAAAAATATGCTCATACGTAACGGTCAAAGATAAGTGCAAGAAATCTCTATTAAATATATAAAATACTAAATTTCTTTCGATAGAATAAGACAAAAGTTTACTTTTCAAAATAGTAACAAAACAATTAAATAAAAATTTACCAATAAAAAAGTGTCGTCTTATAAATGATTTTTATTTTTTTAAAATATAGAATAAAATAAGAATGACAATTCTGTCATTTCTAAAATAATGACATTGGTATAACGTCAATTTTCGCGTTAACTTTATCAAACGAGTTTCAACATGCAACTTGAGATAGACCGAGTTCCTTTGATTTCCATCCAGCACAATTGCCATTTGATCCTAATACCGGAAACGAATTTCTCTCCTTCCACATTTACCATATCGACTAGTCACTCAAAGTGCTGACTGAGCGATAAATTCTTTTCTATCATCAAAATTTTTCCCTCGTCTGTAATATGCATGTCTGATAATGACATCATTTTATTAGATCGAAACTCCTCTATAATATATTAATTTACACTTATCATTTATAATAGGGTCCTCTTGAATTTACAACTTCAGTTAAATGTATCACGTCAGCAACAATTAATTTGCATATTCTTCTTTACAAATTAAAAGAAAAAAAAAAATATATATATATATATATATATATGAATTATAAGTCACATTTTTTTTTCTTACAACTCCAACTGATGTTCGTTGGAATTTTATTTTATTTCTTTTTCCTTTCTATCCTACCAATTGAAGGATTCAATTATTAAATTAATAAAGATTTAATTATAGTAATTGTAATAATTAACTACGAGATTTGAGAATCAAATCTTGAATTTAATACAAAAAGATCAACTAACGGCTAGTTTCTGAATCTAGAGAAATCTACATCTTCTATTATACGACGACGACAAATAGAGAGACGGTTATAATTGAATAGTTTGATTAATTAAATGTCACAAGGGAAATATATCATCGAATTCATAGATAATCTTACCTCGTTTGTCATTGAGAATTAACTTGTCATATTTAAGACCACAATGCATTTACCACGTTATTAAGGTTCATTGTTAATACTTCATATTAACGATTAAAAACAATGAAATTGTTTTAACGAAAGAAATAAAACATTGACTTGAACGAATTGTTTCCCATAGAATATTTTCCATTCGTACGGATTTTACTTTGACACGAATGCTCGTCAATCATTCAACGTTTTACACCGACTCGAAATGTATTTATATAAAACTTAGATAAAAAAAAAGAAAAAAAAAAGAAATCAATTTAAATTTATCGATAAAGTATACACAATATCCGTATGCATACAGAACGATTTTAAAAATACACATCACTCTAAGTCCGATGAAAAAATATTGGAAATAGACATTCGTTTGTTACGATATTTTCATAGAGATTAACTCTACGGATAGATATTAAACAAATATAATATTTATTATTGTGTGACCAAGTTGATTGATAAAAATCACAAAAAAATATTTATTAACAATTCTATCATATATAGAAGTATTCGTATTCACGTAGCAGATATTCTCCAAATGATTAAAGTAATTTTTTACAGGAAAAAGGAATTTCCTTTGAAAGGATTAAAAGAAGAATTAAATAAAGTATGTAATTAGCTAACGGGATAATATAATCCTAAAATATTTAAAATGAAAATCAGAGAAATTCGTTAAAATCTAACACAAATGAACAAAAAATTCAAAGAAGCCCCGTCTCCTGGTTCAAATTAATTAGTAAGAGAAATCAAATTAATTATTATTACAAATAACACTTGTGTGTCTCTCAAATACTTACACTTTGACTTTTATTTGTTCAATTGGAGCGCAAAGTTTTCGAACTAACGTCCAATTTTCTCGATGAACTTTAGCCGATAGACAACTGGGAATCAAGGAACAGCAAATCACGAAACTTATAAACTTTTTTAATGATCACCGATCAATTTTATAAGAGAAATAAACTAGCTGAAAGATGTACAATTAAAAATAGATTTTATCTACAATTGATTTTTCAAAATTAAAACAAATTGTTTTGTATATATGCAGAAAATATTAAACGAGTATTTCTGAAGGCCCAATTTTGGCTTGTAACTTAAAAATAAATTCGTTAGGTGTCCAATTTTCTTTATCGGAATACAATTGCTATTGTTCCTCCAATCTTTAAGGGTAACACAAAGAGTATTGCGACAAAATAAAGACTCACCCTGTGCATTCCTGTCTTTATCCATGTCCCTTTCGTATCGAAGATAAACGAGTCGCAATATCGTTGATCACTGCATCATGAAACCTTAGGATTTCGATTGGCCGTGACTTATGTGTGGATTTGATTCTTACAAAATTCTTCACAATATTCGCGTATCCCTCGTGAATAAAATTCTCTTTGAAATGAAGTTATATTAATATAATAATAATAATGAAAAAAAAAAAAACAAAAAATAAAGACAAACGAAAAGAGAGAAAAAAATACAGTTAATCAAATAAACGGCACAGTAATATAATTCAATGAAAACGATAATATATATATATATAAAAAAAAAAATTACAGCTTAATACACGAATGTCCTTCCTGGATAATTTCCGTACCTCCAATTATGTCGTATTCTCCTTGTTAATCGAGCAGACGATCTTTAATTGAAGCAAACGCAACTATGTAAATTACTTGAAAACTCGAGAACTTATGTTAGTCGAACACGCGAAGAAATTACGAAGAACAATGTCACGTAAACATGTTTAACACTATTATTTTTTTTCCACCGTCCATGAATATCCGAAGACAGGAGTAAGAGTAAGAGGAAAAGAAGGAGGAGGATAGGATAAAGAGAAAAGGAAAATAAGGAAAAAATTAGCGCTACGAGCGCGAAAATCAGGTTCTTATCGAGTCCCCGGAGACGAATTAAAATTAAGGAGACTGACTACTACTGGCCGATTCTTCAGTCGCGGTATCGCCAAATTCACGCATGCGCTTCCTAATTCGAACAAACGCACGTGATCTGTAAACCCTGGTAGATTTGATTATTATTATTATCCCGTCAATTAGTTCATAGACTTTTTTATTTTTCGAGAGAAAAAAAAAAAGAAAAAGAAAAAGGGTTTTCACCTTAGTTAATAGGTAAAGGTACGATTAAAGACTGATGGAATAAAGTCGTGAGCTTGATCGTACCCTCTTCGATCCAACGCTCGCGTCCTTTTACTGATCCCCTCCTCTCTTTCCCTCATCTGGTTAACTCTTGAATAGAATAGGAAGAGGGGATAACCGCATCGACAACTTCAACTCGTCGACGATGACGATGAAGAGAAACGGGAGCCACCGATTGGGATTCTGACTCGACGTTTCCATTCGCGGTATCCAATGGTTTAAGCGGGAAAAAAATAGGGTGAAAGCAAAAAAGTAGAGAAGACAAAATTGAAAAACCGATTCGTTCAAGATAGGTTAATGGGGGAAGGGTAAGGCAAGAGGGTTCAGTACAGAGTGGAAAGGTAGAGAGAAAAGTTCGGGAATACTTTTTGACCTCACCCCCTCACTCATACAAACAACTCTCCCACCCACCCACTCTCGTCCCATTCGATGTCGACGAACGCTCGCGAAGGATGATTGTTTCTTCGTCGTGAAAATTCTACTTTTATTTTTGATACTTTCAAATGGATGAAAAGCAAAAAGAAGATCCAAGTGTTACCGGTGGAAGTGGGAAATAAGAGATATAATAGGATTGACAAAATAAAAAGACTAAAAAAGAGAAAATAAATGTGAGAAATTTATAATAAAAGGGGATGACCTTTTTATCGGTTAGTACTATGTTTGCTTTTATATGTTCCACGTGTATGATCGTTATAATTAAGAGAATAAAACACGACTCGGCGCGAGTTTACGGTGAACTGACTGCTAACCGACTGTCTCCCGTACGACGTACCTACGGCCAATGAAACCCGCGAAAATCTGAGACGCGTGCGCAACTTTCGCGCATCCTCGTATATGCCAAATTTTCCAGCCAATTTACTTCAGAAACTTGAGCCTACTTTCATCCCTTTCCCACCCCCCACTCCATCCCACCACCCCCAAACTCTGCCTAGAATATGACTCTAGCTAGTAATTATTGTTTTCATCATTCCTTTGTATGTTTTCGCGTATACGTTAATCATACGGAAAAACTTTATTTTATCGATATTATTTGTTAAAGAAAAACGAACTTAGGCACGAATGATACATACAATTTCCAATATAGGCTTTATACAATGATGTCAGATCGATTAATCTCGTAACTTCGAGACATCGTACGCATATCGTATTTAAATTTAGTACAATACATTACGTTGATTTAATTAATATAACGAATTAATCGAATACGTTAGAATACGAAATGAAAAAAAAATCAATAATTAAATTCCTATTTTCTTTTTTTATCTTTCAATTCTCTGATAATACGGCTTTCAATGCACTTTCCTGTGTATTTATCACGAATTTTTATTATATCAAAGCACGTTAATGAATAGTTTTATTAAATCTGATAAAAGCCGTATATTCGTTATCTCGTTTGATAACTTTGATAATAAAAGATAAAGGATTTTTCATGAATATTTTAACGTCATTCTAATGAAATATAAAAATAATTCAAAGCGTTATATTCTTAAAAGAAACATAATACATACATGTGATGTTTTCAATTTATGCTTTAAAAATACGTCGCGGATTCGCCGTTGAATGAAGTGTTTCTTTTCGAGTAAAAATTGTTTTCACACGAATCGGTCAAAAACATGAATATATTTAGTAAAATGAATCACGAAAACGCGAAGAAGAAATACGCAGAAATGAAACATACGCGAGAGTTATAAGCAGCACATTAATTTTACAAATGTAATCCTTTCGGCAAAATAAAATGAACACGTCTCGAATGAAATGTTTAAAAAATCAATTTGAAAAATATAAATGATTTTACTTTAATACCGAGGGATGGAAGCAACGATTCCGTCCTTCAAACTTCCGATACTCGTCGTTTATCGTTAACACACACCTTATGCGTACAATCGGTTACCTTTCATAATTGGTTTTTATTTATGTCAAGACTACCTACCTGTCTGATAAACAAGTTTCTATATATAATCACGAAATAAGTTCTCTGTAATTTTATTTTTTTTCTCGGGTCTTTTGTTTTTTTCTTCCACTTAAAAAAAAAAAAAGAAAAAAACAAAAACAAGAGCAGAAATAACGAATGATTAATAAGATGAAAGAAACCTTAGACGAGTATGCGTTGATTATTATGTCGCTAAAGTAGTATCCTACCTAAGTAATAGACACAAAGTTAAATACGAGAAAGACAAACGTTTGCGATATCATTATATACTTTGCAAAATATAATAACGTTGACAAGTTTTCTCTTAGAATTATTTTCATCATCGTGAATATGCGTTAACGTATTTATTTCTTTTATCAACGTTAAAGATTTTGAATCGTTGTTAACGTTGGTAAGACGAGAATTACGAAGAGGGATGATAACCATGGGCCCTAGATATTAATACGTACCATCGTGTTCGTACTCTTTGTCGAGCAACGACGTGTAAGATCGACTCTAGCAGAGCTATACCCTCGACCACACCGGTGATACTTTGTCCCCGTTGCAAGGTGAAATGCTAACTAAAGGGGATGTTTTAATGGCAGAAGATAATAATAATATACCTCAGTTACAATGGCTATTCCTAGGTACCCATCAAGAACCCTCGTAAAATCCAGGTAAATCTCAAACGAACCTATCTACCATAGCTATCATGTAAATAACGTTACATGGATTAATTACGAATCATTTTCATTCTTTGTATTTTTTCTATATAAACATATTCAATTATACGTACGTGTATACTTATTTTTTTGATTAGATAATAAATACTTCTCTCACATCTCTCGCATCTCGTTTCATATTGAAATGAAGAAATCGCTCGATGACCTATCAAATTCGAAAAAAAAAGGATATCTAGGGAAACAATTTGCTTTAGATCGATTGGTGATTTTTAATACGCATGAACGATCGCATTTAACAAACAAATAATAATAATATATATATATATACATATTTAAATACATTTTTCAATTCATTCGTATATTTCAAACGAAATGTTCTAACGAAAAATTGTCTGCACCACATTTTTTCCTTTTCTTTTTTTCCTCCGAATAACCGAATTCAATGGAAACGAAACAGAATGAAAAAAAGAAAAATGTACAAAAAAAAAAGGATACAATATGATTAAAAGTTGATTTTATATATCAACAACTAACGACAATCAATTTGTTCGTTCCATTTCAAGTGATTATAAAATACTAAATTGAACTAGACGAGATGTGGTTATTTTTTTGTTGTCCTCTCTGACATGCACTCGAAAACTCGTAAACGTTTAGTGGTCGCAATTGAATCTGTATTTGTCGTATTTTGTTTACGGTGGGCTTAATAACATGTGCAGTAAAAACTGTGACAGGAAAAATAAGTAAAAGACACCCCTCGACGTCATTGGATTCCTGTTCTGAAAACGAATAGTCTCACCGTGCACATTTATGCATCGAATTGCACAAACTTGGTTTATTTTTATTAATAAAGGAATAACATAATATGAAAAGAAAAAAAAAAACATAAAAAGAAATAATAAGATTAATTCAATGAAGTTAAATAGTTAATAGTCCTAGTGTCAGGGTTCACTTTCTGATGCATTTTTTTTTTTATTTCTGGCATGCACACTCAAACAAGCCACACAACAGACACGATACCAAATCGAACAAAAAATGAAAGAATAGCCTTAACAATAAAAGTATCGGCTCGGAAGAAAGCGATATCTTAAACAAACAAATAGACGGACACCTACGATGTGACTATTTCTCTCTCTAGCTCCTACAATATTTAGAATAAAAACTAGAGCCTTTTGGTAGCTACTGACCTGTACTGAATAGTATAAGTAAAAAAGAAATATATATCTCTGTCTCAAAACCCCTAGAAATACACAATATAGCAAATTAATTCAAATGTCCCGACATTGTTATACCTTACCATTTCGTAACCTAGATCATTTTCGCATTTCCGAGCATTGTGTGACGTAATGCATAACATTGAACGAACGTCAACGGATCGAAAGATATATCATATGAATAGAATATTTTAAGCTTTTTGTAAATAGAGAGAAGAAATGCAATAAATTTACCTGTCTAAAAAGGATAAACACGTATATGCTACGTACGATTTTAACGAATCCAAAAGATAACCACATTGATATACATTAAAGTAAATCCAATGTAAAATAATAATGATACAAGATAAAAGTAAAAAGATCCTAAGGATGTTTAATTCAATGACATAGACATTTCGGTCGGTTTATTTTCTTTATCGTGCTACGTTGTGGTTAATAAATGAAACTCTTATTGTGAATTGGATTGTTTCGCGAAAGTGTGTTGCGATTGACTAAGTCTTTCTGTGTGCACGACGTTTACCCCGATTAAATAACGAGTTAAGAGAAACCGTAGGATTTTCCAGATACTAATCCGTACGGCTTTCGGAAGCAATAGCTTCTTCCCTAATCCGTTGTCTACACCATTCTCCTTTCCAAGATGATAGCGTATTTACTAACTATTTGTCTACCATATATATATATATATATATAACATAATAATACCCTACTCCAGATAATGGATCGTAAAAGAAATGCAGTATAGATAACGTTAAAAATAAACGATTATAATACTTTTACTAACAATAAGTAAGGGGATAAAATATCGAAAGATAAAATACAAAATTATAATCATCGAAAGTTTAAAATATAAAATAATAAGGAAACTTGTAAATTAGCACAATCACAGGATCGAATTATCTTTCGATTTGTTAAAGTTTATCTAACGTATTATGGATAAATTTCTTTAAAGTTACGGCATAATCTATGACAATAAATGTACCTCTTTACCAAGACTATCATTTTGTATATCGATTCTTTTGAGAAAAAGCGATTTCTTATAATCTTATACCGATATGGAATAGGAGCAAAGTAAATCCAGATAAAGTGTGGCATAGTTATTTTAAGAGGCAGCCTATAACTTTAAGAGAAGTTCGATAGTCGTCCGACGTGTATGTATTGCTGACGTCATAAGCATAAAATTGTGGCACGTAACTTACGCTGTAACGAAAGTGCATTCACTAATTATCCGGCAGATGATCAATTTTCAGTTCGCCGAACTTCAAAGGATTTTTATTATGAATTTTAATTAATTTTCACAGATGGCAAGATTCGGTTTTCAAAATGATGCTCGATGCCCTATCCCTAAACCGCATTTAAGATGCATACATTGCCAGAGCTACTTTCTTAGAATCTTTTTTATTACTTATATTTGATATTCGGTTTTTTACAAGCCAACAAAATTAAGGATACATATTTCATTGGGCAATATGATATATTAAATAATAAATTATCATCGTCGAATAGAAAAAAGAAAGCAATTAACTGTTTGCAGTCGTAATAACTTTTACGACAGATAAATCCATCGAGAGATCGTAAATTCAATTAATTATTGACATATAAAAGCCATGCAATTAATTTCACTTAAATGAATCTTCATATTTTAACATTTAAAATATCGCTAACGAGATTTCTCATTTTTATCTCTCTTCTCTATAACATTTGTGCTTGTACCTAACGAGAAAATTGCTGGTCTTAGAGTAAGCCTATGGAAATTAACCCTTTGAGTGCTATGGAGCATATATGCATTTGTAATATAAAGTATTCTATCCATATTTCAGCTAAGAGTATTCACCACTCAAAGAATTAAAACATACGATTGTTTAAATATATTAATTAAAGACAATTATATTATTACATTTTATTATTTCATTTAATACGATATTTTTAGTTAACAGTATATTCGATAAGATAACTCTTGATTTTCTGATACAAGTACCACAATGATAACCTGATTCTTACCTTTGACCTATTTTTCTATGATCTAGAACATACTAATGTAAGCATTCTTCTCTTCGATCTCTCTCTCTCTCATTCCGCCATAATAAGTGGATCTATGAAGTTCGCTAATTTAATTATTCTTCTCTATCGGAAGTACTTATTAAACTTGCTATCTACCATTGCAAAACTGGCTGCCAGTTGATTCGCTAATCATTCATTTCAACAGATTGAAGATGCGTCATAGAAACCGAAATGTTTTCTTAAAATTATCACGATATACGAGTAAGACGATAAAAGTGTTTTGACAGGAATGTCTTTGATTTTTCATCGCAAATACTTCAATTACTGATCAAACATCCGAACAAAGTGTTATTATTACGTTTTGACCTACTTCAAACATGTATCGAGCTTTATATCAAGAAACAAAGTGGTACAGTTAATCGATGCCTCTTACTATTCGGAAGGAAACTCAATATAGTAAGTTTGTATTACAAATACTTTGCGTACATGTTTATAAATTGCACTTATTTTTTCTTTTTTTTTTTTGTTACAATACTCTAAACGTTAAGATACATTTTAAACATCGTCTTTAAATAAGAGAACGATCGTCGTATACTTGTGCTAACGTGAATGAGCTTTTGTATCATACAGTTTCTCGCTTGTAGTTATCATTCAAATAGGTTCAGTATAAATGATCGCTTCAATGATTTTCAAAAGTATCCAAGGGACTAAGAGATTGAAAAAGAGTAAGATACAAAAGCGTATTCTTACAATACAATTCATACATATGCATGTGTATGCTATATACTTATATATAACTTATATATGTTGTACATGGAAATATATACTGCAACCTCACACAAACAAAACACTAATATAAGAACAGAATACTTGCATCCTTAAAAAAACGCACGAACAAAGTCCTTTATTTTTATCGGAAAAACAATCTACATTTGCATTATCATATAATTTAAAATAACAAAATTCTGCTGAATTTGCATAAGGGGACTTTGGATCTTATTAAAACTACACTGCTTGACCCCATATTATTAATTGCGAGACGACAAGAAGTTGGTAAAGAGAGGTCTATGAAAGGAAAGCGAAGAAGTAAGAATAAGTAGAAAGAAAAAGTAAAAGGGAAAGAGAAAGACCTGTTTGTCTAACAAAAAGTAACTCACTTATGCACGTTCTTTTTGAAAATGCTACAACAGATTCCTAAACAAATTCATTTTGAAATATACAATTTTTTAACTTGACGAAATTCCGATTGAAATTTGCCAAGACTTGTGCACGCATAATTTTAATTAAAAAAAAGAAAGATTCAACCATCTTTCCAAATATTATATTATTACAATACGAACATTCTAGTAAAAGGTATATTGGAAAATAATCAAATATTCAAGATAAAACGTTCATAAATGTTCATAAAAATAATCCAAGAAGTATTATGATTAGTTTGGATCCGTTTTAAAAGATGAGATAATTTAAAGAAATAGCTTTTTGGTGGGAAAAAAAAAGTCACTTACCATAAGATCGCTCATTATTTTAACTTCATATTAAAGATTCCTGAAGACCGATTATCAAATTCCTTTGGACTCCTACTATCCCCCCAACCCTATACCATTTCCGTTAACGGAATATTCTCTTTCTCTATCCGTTTCTCTTCCCCCTTTTCATTTACCCATTCGATTACTTTCTCTCTCACACTATTTCTCTCGATGCCGAGCTAGCTAGCTTTTCCTATCACCATCGGCTTAACCTCGGTCTTCTTCACCCTTCCTTCATTCTTCCTTTCGTTCCGTGTCGCGATATTAGAATCTACCCCGAAGCCGTCTCTAGAAATCCGATCGAACTTCTTCATTGGTATTCCTAATGTCAAGGAAAGACGTGGTAACGTCGTTTAAAAGCGCAGACCGGTTCAATTAAAATCGCAGTCGTTCAAAGTAAATCTAATCGACGGTCACCATTTTTCATCTTATCAAAAGCAAGAAAAAAAAAAAAGAAAAAAAACGTTAAGAAATATAACAAGTTTACTTATTGACAACCGATTAAAACAGATGGAACAGAACAGAACACTTCATCGCGTTTAATATAACGTTAGAAAAAGTCAATTGTAAAAAGTTTGTGTTATCGCGATCATATCTTACGGTCCACCAACGACACTATAAGAAAATAAATGATAGTCTTTCTTCTTGACCATATACCAAGTTGTCAGCTTTCATCCTAACGATTTGAAATAGATGATCGCTTAAGGCACCTAAAACTATGAATCAATCGAATTACTTTAACATCGATTCAACCTTCTAAATATACGAGAATATAATTCGATTATTTAAATATAAAAATTGATGATAATATAACGAAGGACCTTCTTTCAACGTCGCATATGAGAAAAAAGTTTGCAGAAACTATTCGTTGGAAAATAAAAAAAAAAGATATAATCGACAAAATTTACGAAGAAATAAAATAAAGTTGAACGATTCACGCTATTGCTTTATAAAACTATCCAATATATTTTTTTCTCTAACCTTTTCAAATATTCTTTGATCAACCTTCAAATAACCAATTCAAAATGATCCAGGTAAAAAGTACGCAATGTATAACGAGGAATGACTAATTTCATTCGAGATTTCTCGAGTGAACAAAAAAAATTGTACTATTTCTTTTTACGAAATATTAAAGCAACTTTTACGCTCTGATTATTCATAAAGGATTTACGTGAAAAGTAATACGCAAAAAATTGTCTAAAATAATCATTTAAACATAAAACAAGAATCCTTAATTACACCAGACAATTATTCTGTTTAATTTCTTTATTATAATTATTCGTAATAGGAGAGTCAAATATTTAAAAGTTTCATGATAAAAACGATTAAAATAAGAAATGATTATAACGGGAACTTTTGATAGATGATATAAATTATATGATAAATATATTACAATTCTTTCAGACGACAAAAGTAAACTATAAACAAAAATCAAGTTGGTTGTAAAACGTGATTATTTTTTTTTTCTTCAATATCATTTAGAGTAAAGCTCGATATTATTTTTGTATAATTAATATTTACACGCATACAAACATCTATTCCATAAACCAAATGATAATACAGGAATGAAATTATTCGCCACAGTTAGCAACGTGTTAACTACCATGAAATTAAAGCTTCTCACGTGTAATCACATAATTTCCGTTTGCTGAAATGGCATGACGATTATGCGAAAATGATCACACATATGCAGTATGGATTAGATTTCGATATGGATGTAACAATATACAGATACGAATGCTATTTCATGTATACTATTTGTCATACTAATTTGAGAATAATAATAAGTTAGAACATTTTGAAGATATAAACGGAAGAAGTATTATATTACTTTAAATGGAAAATTGCTAAGAAAATTCTAATCCTCTATTATTTCCTTGAAAATATTTCTATCGATCTGTCCCTTTAAAAGGATGGACCATCATCTTCGACAAAGCAACACAAAGAGTAATATTATCGGAAAGTATAAAACTTAAGATTACTTTCTTTTGTATTCTATTCGAAACGAAATAGCTTTTCAACGAAAATATTCTTATCGATGTAACTTATTTCAAGTATCATTACTTATATATATCATTATATATCAGAATAAAAAAAAAGAATTTGTAAAAGACCATTGTTAAAAATTAACATTAACATACTCGTGAGATCGCGAGTAATCTCTTTACAAAATATTTTAATTTAATCTTAAACACACACACAAGTCTTATATATAATATATAATTCATAAGCAAAACTATCATCATCTCATCTGATTTTAATATCTAATCGAGCAATTTATCTGTGTAAACAAAATATCGTATCGAAAAATAAAATCCTACTTAATCGAATATCCGTTGCAAAAAAAAAAAAAAAAGGATTGTAATCGCATCAGAGTGTTAAATCTCGCTCAAGAATATTATTGTCAAAACACGGCTATACATTTTAAGAAAGGCAACTGTTCCCTAATGGATTAAATTCGGTGGTGTAATTATTACTACCTCCTCATTGAAGAAACAGAACACTCGTGAAAGGGGCCAACTTAGCCTACTTTTTTCCATTTGGAAAATTACTTACTTCAAACAATATATATATATATATATATATATATATATTGTATATATGTACAACATACATATCTTAAAAGGTATAAAGTAACTAACGCTTCTTCTGTAATAGAATTCATTGTAGGTGCGAAGAAAAAATTGAAATACACACGAAGGAGGAGGGCATTGTACACATAACGTAAAACAAAAATGTCTTATTAATGCGAATACAATTTTAGAAACACATACCGACGACTTGGTTAAAGCTTTACTGGATATTTTTCTTCATCACTTTTTTTTTTTTTCTTGAATTTTTCAAATAAATAAAAGTGAACCGACAGTTATTATATACATTTGCTTTACGTTTTACATACAAACGAAAGAAGAATAATTATTCTAAAACAACGATAGATAATCAACGCGTTACTTTCGTATCAAACAAATGTAACAAATGTGATGACGCGCGTTCGTGCGTGTGTGCGTGCTTTATATGTATTGCGTGTAATGTAAAAAAAAAGTATTAAATATAGGAATGTTTAAAATATCACCAAGCTTCGTTAATAAAACCTATACCTCTATACTCGTTAAATCTTTATAGACGGGAAATTAATTTAATATATGTTTCATTCAAGTACTGATATAAGTATTTAAAAGAAAGATAAGTAAGAATCCGGTCGTAGTTGAAAAAAATTGAAAAATACCGGCTGAACGACGCGAACTTTTATGCCACCTCGCTCTTTCTCGTGGCAATACTTCACTGACGGTAACGTAAAGTAACGTTCCTCCTGCTAATCCTTGCAAAATTGGTAGCAATATTCGCGACCATGATGCATTTTCCTGCGTACAAAAATTTGTTTCCATTTAAAATTTAATAATAATAAAATATTCTAATTGTGTGATTCATTCAATTTCATTAAAAATGCACGGAAATGTTTTTTTTTCTAATCATCGCTTACCTGTGACGTGAACATACCAATTCCTATTCCTATGACCGAACTAATGGCGAATACAAAACTCGCTAAAGCAAGTTTACACTTGGAACTACCAACACCCATTAATTCCAAACCCATACAAAATCCAACTATGAACTTATGGGATGCCACTGCCACTACGAAAAGCAGAACCTGTAATTAATTCAAAATCAAATAATATTTATTTTCAAATAAGTTGTTTCAAATATAAGAGTTTTAACAAAATACGATAAAAATATAATATGTAAGTCTATGTCAATATAATTTATTGTCATCAACGATTCCAACATAAAATGAGTTCTAAAAACAGGAATCTATTCGAATCCCATTAGGAAGATCCATGACAGGCTACCGAAGAACGACACATACAATTAATAATCATACGAACCTCGGCTGGCTTTTTTTGCAATCCAATAGCCAATCCCTCTAAAACCGAATGAATGGTGAGAGCCAGTAAAAGACCTACGGGACCCACGTTGGCATCCGAGCAAGGTTCAGAATGAGTACCATGACATAAAAATGTCAACTCCTCGTGACAAGATGAAGCCGCAGGTGCATTTGGTACGTATTGCATCGATCCGTAATAACTTGATCTCCAATTTGGGAATTCATTGTTCCCGCGTAAATTCGATTGATACGCCGTTGTCGCTTTAATGTCGTTCGAACTAACGCCTCTCACGTTTTGGTTACCCACATTGTAACCAATCTGATGGAAATGTGGGCGCTGATTTTCCCTATAATAAAGATTGCATTTGGATAATTTCCTATCGATCTATCATCATAGAGGATTGAAAATAAACCTACTGGTTTCATCGCAGTCCTATCAATTACTTCGCGCGAAAGCTTTTTTCAAATAATAAGATTTAAGAGAAATGGTATTACCGATGTAAAAAAACAAAAAGGTTCAAATAAAAAATTGCAAATGTTTTTCCATTCGAAGATAGAATAAGTTAAATCTTTTAAGTTAACTTGTATTCTCGTCGATACTATTTTAGTTTCGTTTCGTTTCGTTTCGTTTCATTTCGTTTCGTTTGGCAAACATGATAGCTTTTTTAAAACGCCACAAAGGCCGATCAACCGAGCGCATGCGCATCTTAAGACACCCGATAATGCGTTTATCTTCTAAACGAATTTTCCAAACAATTTGATGCTTCAAAGTCGACCAAATATAGCGACCAAGAGAATCGATTACGCTAAAGATAAAAGATACCGCACACACAGCTCGAGACACGAATGTATTTTTCTCAACATAACTTCTATTTTTATCGTTAAATGTGCTAAACCCGAGCTATCGATCTTCGGTTCGTTTGTATATCAATTTATTACTACAAACCATTCGTGGTTTGAAAAGATAAGATGGATAAGAATAAAACACATAATATGGAACGAGAAGACATATAAGGTCTTAGGTCGTAAGCCTGTAACAAAGGAAAACTTGCCCTATCTTTCTATGGACGTATTAAAATTTATGGTGCATAAATGTATCTTACTTAAAAAAAGCAAGTTAAATTTAATGTCTCATGAAGAAAACAAAGAATATACAATTTGGCATGTTTATCCAACTATACCTACCGATGATCTTGAAAATGTCTGCCTCCGTGGGCATGATTATGCGAGTTTGAAGAGTGATCGATATTGCCACCCCAAAAATAATGAACACACTCGTCAACGAAATAGAGTAAAAGAAATCCACAAGAGATAGCAAGTTCTCCGTATTTCGGTAGAGATTCTCTTACTTCTGGCAACATGTGAAGTATCGAGGTTGCTAATAAGACTCCACCGCCGAAACATAATACACAAGAAAGAAATAACTTCTCTTGGAAATCTCTTATACGCGAAACGAAACAGGCTGGTGCAATACTAACGATAAAACTACCGATTCCTATCGTGAATATTGACGCGATTTTAACTTGTGTCGCGGTCACGTACATTTTTCTTCTATTTTTCTTTCTTTTCTTTTCTTTTTCTAAAGTATACCTTTAAACTTCTCTTATAGACTATACGATATAATAAAAAAGACTCTTATATTCGTCTTCTTACTTGCCGTTAATCTACCGGACACGATAAGATCGATACTCGAAAGATATCAGAAAGTAAGACGAAGCGACTGATCTTCTATGTTGAACAACGTTCACATATATGTTTACTTTGATCAATATATACCGATCTAATTATAAGAAAATTTTATTTGTAAATTTCGTATTTTCAAAACGATTAAAAAATATTTTTCCACATACACACAATCGATGAAAAACTTATTTTTTATTTATATAAATTTTTAAAAAACAAATGATTCTGCGTTTTCCCTTCATAGAAAATTATCATAATCTCTCAATACCCATGTGCATCTGGAAATTCTCCAATTATAGACTTTCCCGATAAAAGATCTATGTATATGTATTTAGCAGATCTTACGTTAGTTCTCATTCCTTCTAATATTAGCGCTATAATTCGTTTCTATAAAGTTATCGGTAAAATAGAACGCGATAGAAATATGAAGAAAAATGTTGAATTATCGACAAGACTTTTTCTAAAAGAATTACGTGAAAATAGATATACGAAAAAACAACTGGACAATTCATATGTACGTATCTTCTTTGATATACTATAAAAAATAATAAATATTTCGTTTAGATTAAATTATCATCGGATAATAAAACTGCACCATATCATCAAAGGCATAGACTGATAAAAATGAAATCAACTTGTTAAAAACTGTTCTTTACATCTATACAAAAATTATCATATTTTTACGAATTACTGTATATGATAATTTAATATTAATGTATATTCAAAGAATACAACAATACATAAAATCTTACAAGTATACATTTCATGTAATCGTTTAAACAAATGTAATTTTGATGTAACGATTCTGTGCTCTGGTGACTGCGGAAGTTACGTTTACTCTACTATAACATTTTGTAAGACACGTATAATTTTACTAATGAAACCTACGATTTTAAAATATTCTAATATCAAATAAAATTTGGATATACATATACCACCTATCAGTGATCAAAAATGATTAGAAATATAAAAAAAATTTTCCAATATTTAAAGATAATTAATTTGAATTTTATGACTCAAACTTCCTGAAAAATATATATGTATATATATGTATATATATGCATGCATAAATATACATAAGAAACATACAACCACATGTGTATTTTTCATATTACACCTAACTCTAGGTATACTATACTAAGTAGTATTCTAAGTGATAAATAATGCATTAATTAAAAACAATCGCGAAACGATGTACAATGCACACACCTAATACGCACACACAGGTGCAATGTACACCGTGCAATCAYTAGCRCAATRACAGCCGCCAATAGGGGAAAAACTTAAAACTAAACCTATACTAACCGTTTCTCACCTATACGAGTAGCACCTGGGCACACGCATAGATGAGAACGCAGAAAGTATAGGGGGGAAAAACGGGAGATTAATATATTAGTAGCTGAAAATCCTGATCTAAAAAATATAATTAAAAACACATAAAACGCTTTGCTCTTTAGTAATTTCTACTGAGTACTTCATTTGTTATATATGTATAATAAATACAAAGTAGAGTAAAGATAAAAGATAAAAATGGTCGAGTAAAAAAGTAAGACCATAAGATGTATGAAAAAGATTTATGCTTTTGTTTGATATTATTTAATTTTTTAAATGCAAAGTGTTAATAATAGGTTCATCGATTAGATCAAATATCTGTTGAGGCATTCGAGTAAATG